GAGAGAGAGAACGCAAGAATGTTTGAGCCTCTGGGATTCATATCCCAAGGCCAGCGCCATCCCTGACTTGCCAGGAACTGAGCCGGTAAATTCCAGTCTAATCCAGACCGAGTTATGTTTACTTAAAACCAAAGGATGCGCCCTGGCTGGCGTAGCTCAGTGGATTGAGCCGCAGGCTGGGAACCAAAGTGTCCCAGGTTCGATTCCCAGCCAGGGTACATTCCTGTGTTGCAGGCCATAACCCCCAGCAACCGCACATTGATGTTTCTCTCTCTCTCTATCTCTCTCCCCCACACCCTTCCCTCCCTAAAAAGTAAATAAATAAAATGTTAAAAAAAAAAAAGATGCCTGAATTCCACGCCATCATTATTCTCTCTAATGACTCACTCTGGCCCGTGGTCTGCACGCGGCATAATGTATGAACCACTCAGCCCCCGAGGAGTCTTCGCTTATCAGCGACGCTGCGAGGAGCCGCCACGTGCTCACGCCTTTCCACGTGTGTGCACTAATCTCATCAGGGGCGATTTCTGCCAGCGACCTTGAACACGAACCTGTGCTCCACTGCCCTTGAGCCCCATCCCTGCCTTCGGCTTCCTGGATGATGGGCCCTCACTGAGTCTAACTCCCTCTGTCCCCCTGTGCTGCGGGCTCCCAGTGCGTCTCGTGGCCAAACCCAGACGAGGAGTGACAGGTCTGGGGGCGGCCGGGCGCATCTGAGGAGCTCCCGGGCTTCCGAAGCCCTGCCTGCTGCTCGGGACTCGCAGGCCAGATGCAGCGATGCTCAGCAGTTCCAAGACGCAGGAACGCTCCATCTGGCAGACAGAGGCTGTCTCCAGTTCTGAGTCACTAGAAAAAATGAGAAAGCAGAGAAAATTATGAAGGGGAAGGACTTCAGAGATTATTCATCCCAGACACGTACCCTGCCCACCACCTGCCTTGTCCTACCCGGCTCAGCTGACTCAACCACGTGCCCACTGCGGGCTGGGCTTTTTGTCTGTCTCGTGCCAATGCCAAGAACGCCACACAGCACATAGTAGGGCTTCAATAACCGTTGACTGAGTGGATAGAAGGATGGGTGGATGGATGGATGGAGTACTCTAACTTCGTGAGCCCAAATGGTTTCAAGGACAGATTCTGCCCGTTACTCTGAGTGCCCTCCCTCCCCAGGTCTCATTACCCCGTGTGTGAAACGAGGCATTAAATTAGACCCCCTCTAAGCTCCTCCAGCTCTCTTACCCTCGAGCCAGCCATGTCCAGGTGAGGACTTCTGAGCTTTGGGGCAAATAGAAAGCGTCATTCGTGTGGTTTTGCTATGATTTGATTCAAGCGCTGGACCTTTCCTGTCTGTCCCCCGGGGCGGGGGGGCGGGCAGGCCACCGAGCTGCTTTCTGGACGTTTCCAGGGGCATCTGCCTGCACGAGCACAGCGTGGAGGTGAAGTCAGACAACGCAGAGCTTTAACCTGAGCTTCGCCTCCTCCTGGCTGTGTGACCTTGGGCAAGTGACTTCACCTCTCTGAGCTTGGTTCCCGAGTCTCTAAAACAGGGACTGAAACACACTTCGTCGGGCATGGAAAGGGCGAAAGGAGATAGTGCACACACACTCAGCACAGTGCCTGGCACGCAGTGAGAACTCTGGGAAAGCAATGGCGGTCGTCTGGGGGCCTCCCAGACCCCCCCGTCTGAGGAATGCGTGTGTCGGCCCACCGCCCGCTGTGAGCCTCCACCCAGGGAGCCTGGACAGGGCAGAGCCTGCTTCGGGAGGGAGGGCTGACTGCAGGCCGGGAAGAGCCTCACGGAGATCCCTTTAAAGGGAGCCTTTCCCGTCTTCATCCTTCTTCCTACCTGAAGTTCAGGCACGATGACTGGAGACCAGGCAGCCACATTGGACCATGAGGAGGCGTTGAGGAGAGAAGCAGAAAGTTAGAAGGAGTCTCGATCCCTGATTACCAGGCCTCTGTGACCTATCTCAGGTTTCTTTATCTCAAGAGATAAACATACCTCTAATTTCTTTGAATCGTCATTTGGATTTTCAGTTTCCTGTAAGCAAACCTATTTCATCTGTTCCCATTTTGTAGCTGACAAAAAAAAAAAAAGCAAGGCTCAGAGGGGAGACATTCACACAACTCACAAGGGCACATTCAGGATTTGAATCCAGGTCTCTGTGGCTCCTGTACCATTGACTCTCCCAAACCCTTGGCCACCCACGATGAGGGTGCCCCGCCCTCCCAGGCCACCTGCGTACAAGACGCTAGACTATGACAGGGCTGTAAGGGCTGGGGCAAGGGAGGTGTAATCACAGAAGGCTTTACGGAGGAGGCAGTATTTGGGTCGGGTGTTAGAGAATGAAACAGTAATAATAACTGACCCGTTCAGCCAGCCCCTCAGATAAAAAGGGAAGTCTACCCCCATGGCCCAGGCTGGGTACAGTGTCAGGGCATGTGTCAGGGGTCCCCAAGACCACCCCCAGGTTCTGTGACTCACCAGGAGCAGTCACATAACTCAGCACAGCCTTGCCCGGAGCCGTGATTGATTGCAGCGGAACAACACAGAGCAAAACCGAAAAGCACACGAAAAACCACAACGACAAAGCCCGAGGTGAAGGCCGAGGGAACGGGCCTGAGCTGGGTCCCCTCCCAGCAGAGCCCCACAGGCGGTGCCTCATCCCCCCAGCAACAGGCTGTGGAACGGCATCAGGGACCGACCAGGGCGCTCCACGGAGACTCGGGGACCCCAGTTTTTCCCAGGGGGCCGGTCACACAGGCCTAGCACATCCCCAAACCCCGACTCCCCAAAGAGAAGCAGGCGGTCAATATAAACCACACCGTTTGCACAGATAGCACAGACACAGTGGGCCCTCTTATGGGGGGGGGTGGCAGGAACACGCCCCCTGGCCCCCGCCCCCCGCCCCCCCCCCCCAGGTTCCCAGAGGCCAGCCCAGGGCTGAACTCGCAAGCAGCCTTTCAAAGGAGAGCAGGCTCGGACCCGAGCTGCTAACTAACGCCTTCCCACACAGAAACAGAAGCGACACCTTCCGCCCCATTTCTTTTTGAAGTGACCTGGGAAATGCGTTTTTTTTTTTTTTTTGCACCTCAAGCCCAGATTTGTTGAGAAGAATTTAGTTTGCCATGGAGATCATTTCAGCGTTTCCTAGAAAATAACCCTGAGTTATGCAAGAGGCCAGGGAGCGGCCGGGGTGAGGAGCCCTCGGAGCTCTAGGCCCGAGCTTCCAGGCCCGTGCTGGCCACTCCCTCGCGTCCCAGCTCGGCCGAGCGTGTCCCAGAAAGGAGCCCCGGCTTCCTCTCCAAGGAAATGAGAGCGCCGGATTTCGTCCGTCTCAGGGAGCCCTCGCTGCACGATATACCACCCCAGAAGCTGGTGGCTTACAACACCCAGCGTTTATTGCTTCTCACCGTTCCCCGGGGCGGTGATCTCGGTGGGGCTGAGCAGTGTGGCTCTTCTCCTGGCACCGCCCGGGCTCCCTCCTGAGGCTGTAACCAGGTGGCACTGAGGACAACCAGGCCTCCGCACCCTTGTGCGGTCTCTGGTTCTCCAGCAGGCTAGCCCAGGCTGGTTCCCATGGCAACTGGGCAGGGGTCCAAGAGCAAGGGTGGGAGCCACAAAACTTCTGAAGACCTGGTCTCGAAAGCCCCGTAGCATCACATTCTGGTGGTCCAAGGAAGACACGGCCCAGTCCAGATTCAAGGGGAGAGGAACTAGCCTCTGCATCTTTTTTTTTTTTAGAGAGAGGGAAGGGGGGGAGAGAGAGAGAGAGAGAGAAACATGAATGTGCGGTTGCTGGGAGCCGTGGCCTGCAACCCATGCATGTGCCCTGACTGGGAATCGAACCTGCGACACTTTGGTTCACAGCCCGCGCTCAGTCCACTGAGCTACACCAGCCAGGGCTAGCCTCTGCATCTTGATGGGAGGAATGGTGGGGTCAGTGCGAAGGGGTGTGGGTACAGACAGGGGGAGAAATTATAGCTACCTTCTCATTAGCCACACCATTTTTTCTATGCTCGTTTCAGTCATTTATTGGTGGGTTTTGTTTTTTTTTTGTACACTTGAACACCCTTTACGTGCCCGGCATTTGCCAGACACAGACTCGTGGGGAAACAGATGAATAAACCAATATGTGCCACGAAGTTATAAGGAAAGAACATTTATTTTATAGATATTTCTTTATAGCATATTTTTCCTGCAGCTTGCCAGAGAAGGAACAAGCAATAAAATTGTGAATTTTAACCAGAAAAGAAAAGCGAAATCAAAAGGGGGAAGAAGACAGTGTTTACTGAGCACCGCCCCCCCGAGTTCCAGCACCTTATGCATGCTCTCTCCCCGAGTCTTTTCCAAGACCCTTCTAGAGATAAGCAGCCAGAGGTTCATTGCAGGTAAATGACCAGCCTGAGTCCACACAGGGCTGAGTGGCAGAGCTGGGAGTCACACGGCTGGTTTGACCTCAAAGCCCACATGCTGCAATAGAACAGCTGTCAAGAAGCTTTAGGTTCCACTGTGAGTTTCCTAGCAGCCCAGGGGAAAAGGGAAACTGAACATATTGCTCAATTGGCCACAAGTGAGGAAAAAAACCAGGCATTTCACTGAGGGAAAGCAAAACCCTTCCTAGCACTGAATTCGTTTTTCTTTTCTCAAGGTGGAATCTGGGGCTCAGCTTAGACGCCAAGTGGAGTGACCCCTCATTTTACATGCGAGCAGGGTGCTGAGTAAACAAATGCCCGTTGTTTCCTGGAGAAGATTCTGTCTCTCAGAGTCTTCTGTGTGTGTGTGAGTCTCGCTTTCTCTTTACATCTCCACCGCTCCTTCTCTCTCTCCGTCTCTTCCGCTTCCATCCCTCCCTTCTCACACCCAGAACGGACAGCCTGCTAGTCTAAACGCCGCTGTTTTGTTGCTGTTGTCGTCGGAGGGTTTTGTTGGTTTTGTGTTTTTTTTTTTTAGGAAGTGCCACGGCATCAAAAGCGCACACACAGACCCCAGCAGCACAGGACTTCCTCCTCACACGGGGCGGGGCAGGGCGAACGGGAAGGCGCCTGTGAGAGCTGAGGTGACACATCTCTGCCCGGCCAGCTTGAGTGGCAGCTGGGTCAGCAGTTCACGGGAGTTCGGACCACTCTTCCGTGGAGGCTTCGGGATGAACTTGTGCCACGCAGGTAAGCACCCGTGGCCAACCTCTCTGGCCTCAGTTTCCTCTTCTGTAGAAGGGGGATAGCAGTGCTGGTCTCCCGGGACCCTGGAGCACTTGGCATGTGAACAGTTACAACGCAGGTGGGGATGCAGAAGCGTGCGGCAGGTGTTCGTGGGCTCGGGCCGGCTGCCAGGCTGTGCCCCGGGGGGGCTGGGAACGTGGTGTGTCCAGCGGGCACTGTCCCTGCCTTCAGGGGACAGACAGACAGTAAACACATTAATGTCCCAGGTCAGATGGTGACAAGCAGAATGACAACAAGAAAGTAGGAGGAGAACGGGAGAGGGTCGTGGAGAAGGCCTCAAGAGCAGAGACCTGCCCTGGCCAGGTGGCTCAGTTGGTTGGAGCATTGTCTGGTGCACCGAGAGGTTGCAGGTTCGATCCCCAGTCGGGAGTGCAGGGGAGGCAACCCATCAATGCGTCTCTCTCACATCAATGTTTTTGTCTGTCCCTCTGTCTCCGCCTCCCTATCTCTTTAAAATCAACAAACATGTCCTCAGGTGAGGATTAAAAAAAAGAGAGAGCAGAGACCTGAATGAGGGGAGGGAGGCATCCTCGTGGGTTTCTGGGAAAAGAATGTTCCGGGAGGCAGAGCAGACAGTGCAAAGGCGGCACCGAGAAAGGTTGTTTGTGTTGAAGGTGACAATGTTGGTCACGATGACGCCTGTCTGGGTGACACCAAGTCCCTGAAGCCCCAGTGTGGCCTTTGGGGAGTGAGGGTGGCCTGTGAGGAGGCAGAGGAAAGCGCCCGGGGCCCATGGGGGGACCAGGACCCAGCAGCCGGGGACCGTGGCTGAGGCCTCCCAGGGAAGCAGCGTCTGGAGGGAAAGAGGAAGGGAGGCAGTGCAGCTGGGACAGGAGAGAGCCTGCGGTGCCGTCTCTCCAAGACGGACAGAGGAGGGGCCGGGTCCCTGCGTCCTGCCTCTCAGAACATTCCGGCATTGTCTGCAAGTCCCGAAGACAAGGGCTGCCGGAGCCTACCGGTTCCCCAGGTCCAGACAGCGCCAGTCTGTTAGCAACAGAATTCTTCCTTCGGATAAAACCTAACCCAGAGCTGCCCGAGCCTGCCCCTAGGGAGCCCCGCCCCTGCAGCGAGAGCACCCAGATCCACTTCAGCACCCCCAGTCTCAGATGGAAGGAAGGAGGCCCAGAGCGGACACTGCCCTGCGGAGGCAGACCACTCCCACCTCCAGACTCCCTGCCCAGTGCTCTCTCCCTGAGCCCCCGGCTCCTCCTGTGGGCTTCAGGGCGGGGGGCGGGGGCCTCACAAATGGCACCAGCTCAGGGAACACATCTCAGGCGAGAAGAGACCCAGCGAGGGCCAGTGCCCAGTTCAGGGTCGCCCGGCTCAGGGTCATCCGGCAGAGGCAACAGGCAGATGAGACGGTGAAGTAATCCCCCCACATCTTTGGGGTCTCCACCTATGAGGGTCCTGAGGAACAGGGATGGTGGTCCCCGTGATGCGAATGAGGAAACCGAGGCTCCATAAGCCGGAGGAGAGCACTGACTCGCCCAAAGTCAGGCGGCTGGGAAACGGCAGCACAGGGACCGAGCCAGAGGAGAGAGAGCCCAGGTTACCTGGGGTTGTGAGAAGGAGGGGCGCCTGCGGAGGCCCGGGGGGGCTCTCTGCTTCGCTTCAGGCTGACCCTGGAAACAAGGATTCAATGCGGTCAACAAAGGCCGTCTGTTGGAAGGTTTGAGGTCTCCATTGATTGGTTCTTCTATTCACCTGTTCATTCTGTCAAGAGCCGCCTGGGGCGCAGGCCCTGCCGCAGTACAGTGCAGTGCAGCGTGGTGCAGAGGACGGCAGTGGCCCAGGCATGGGCCCAGCCCCGAGGTGCCGCTGGCCTGCAATGTGGCAGAGAGGGGGTGTATCTGCAGGGCCACGACCCAGGACAGATGTGCAAATGAGCACAGTCCTGGTGCACGGGAAGAAGCCACTCTTTCCACATAAGCAGGGGGAATCTGGGAAGACTTCCTGAAGGAAGCAGAAAAAGAAAAGGAAGATCATTCCTCTGTTAACCCAGACTGGGTCTTAATCAAAGCACCTCCACGGCCAGGGGACTACCCCTCTTGGAGACCAGATCGGTCACCTAGAAGTGGGCGCCATCATCCCGGCCTGACCTAAATGATGAACAAGCATTTGCAGTCAGCCAGACTTGGCTCCGTGCCCAGCCCTGCACCAGCCTGCCAGCGGTCATGACGGGCCTCATTTTCCCTGCCCGGGCCATGGACGGGACAGTGGCAAAGGCCTCCCCAGGCCTGCCTCCCCTCCTCCAGCCGTGGGTGTGTGACCCCCAGGAACGGGTCGGCCCCCTCCCCCCAGGGCCTGCCAGGAAGGTGAGAGGACCAGGCAGCAGAGCCCTTGCAGGACCAATGACAGCAGCGGGTTGGTGCAGGAAGGATGAGCGCCCTTAAAAATAGCACAGAGGCGGCTCAGCTGTGGGTAGGAAGCTGCACGATGCGCCCACAGAGCAGGCCTGGGCGGGGAGGAGCTCCCCCAGACACCCCCCCAGGCCCCATCCCACCAGACTCCGAAGAGCCTGTGGCCCGGGTGGGCCCCGGGAGAGCACCCTCCTCCTGCCCTGGAAAAGGGGAAGCCGGGCCAGCTGCCCTGGAAGCAGCGCCGCGAGCCGAGTGATTTCTAAAAATACGAGGGGAAAGAGGAAGGGCAAAGGGGAAGTGCGGGGCAGCGGGGGAGACAGTCGGTCGCGGGCCTGGGCTGGGGAGAGGGCCGCCTGGCCCGGGCTCGGGCTCGGGTGCGGTCAGGGCCTGAAGGCGACCGCTGGGAGGTGTGAAGAGCGCGAAGCCCCGTGGGGAGTAGTAAACAGGGCCCTGTGGGGGCGACGGTTGTTTTGACCGTGTTGTTGTATTCTGTGTTTTGTTACCGTGACTGTTATTATTATTGTTATTAAACATCTGCCTCCTGTGAGTCACCCCAGTGCCTGACGCAGGCTTGCGATCAGCAGCGAACGCTCTCAGCTGGGTCCTGCTCACCCTCACTGAACCTCAGTGTCCGCGGCTCTGAAATGGGGAGAAAGGCCCACTTTCTAACATGCACGTGAGAGGTCGGAAGGGGCCGAGGGATGGGTGCAGCAGTCTGGGGGCGGTCAGCCCCGTCCCACGGTTCCTGTGCACTTGGCCATTGGCCGCCTGCTGGGGTCGGGGCCCCGACAGAGGGGACAGCGGCCTGAGAGCACCTGTGAACCCACCTGTCACACCACAACAGGAGCGGCACGAAGGGAAATGGAAACGTCACCCCCCCATGCCGTCCCACTCTCCTGGGAGCGCTGTTTCCAACCATGCCTGCGCCTCAGTCTCCCCAGCTCTGGGGCGCTGGCTCTGTTTCACTGCTGACCCCACGCAGGGGACGGGGCTCAGGTCGCAGGCAGCGTTCCACACCCCGTGTTCACTCCCAAACACGCGGCCACGGTCGGCGTGCCCGGGTGTCAGAACGTCCAGGGTTCGCGTCTGATGGGGTGTCGATGGTTCACATGCCAGTATCTGGCTTCATAGGAGTAAGGTCAGCACTGAGGCCGCCGGACCCCAGAGGGGCCTGGGTGGGAGCCTCCGCTCCCCCACCTTTCCACTGTGTCGCCTCGGGCAGGTCACTCAACCCCTCTGCGCCCTGGGTGTCTCGTCCACAGAATGAGATTGGAAAGGCCTCCCTTCTTCCAGAGCTGTCGTCTGGGTCGAACGAGATGACGGGTGGGAAGAGCCTGGAGCACACAGGGCGCAGCACGTAGTAGGTGTTCAACTGGCACGCCTCTCCGGAACCAACAGCTTAGCTTGTTGTTGAGCCACGCGGCCCCAGGCCTGTGGCAGTGAGAGGGAAGGAGGCGAGGGGGAGGGGGAGGGGGAGGGCGAGGCCCAAGGGGAGCACAGAGGCCCTGAGAGGAGCGGGGGGGGGGGGGGGGGAGGAGCCGGCCTCCTGGGCCGAGAGGGGAAGGGCAGCAGGGAACAGCAGGTGCGCAGCCTGCGGAAGGAAGGGCCCACAGGAGCAAGGGAAGGGTGGCCAGTGAGGCCTCGAGTGGAGGGCGGGGTGGGGGGTGGGGCACAGTATGTGATGCGGGTGGGGGAGCACCAGCAGTTCTGCCCGGCCCGGTGGAGTCTGGGACCCATACCCCCAGGACAATGGGATTGGAAGGGCCAAGCGGGGGCAGGGAGACGCGGAGAGGCGCTGCATCCATCACCCGGAGACGGGAGCCAGGGGCCAGCGTGAGGGTGGGGCCGTGCAGACAGAAGAAGCCAGGCTGACAGCCGGGCTTGGTGCGGGAGCCGACTTGCCTCCTGGGGCCCTGGCAGGGCTATCTCAGGCGCCCGACCAGAGCCCGGGATCTCGGGAACAGTCGAGGGGAAATTCTAGGACTTCTCTTTGGGTCAAACAGACAAACAAGATGATGACCCGCACCCAGGGGCATGGCAGGGCCTGAAACTCAGGGAGGGGGTGGAGCAGAGGGTGCGCCGGTGGCTCCTTGGTCCTGGAGAGGATGAGGGGAACAAGGAGAGCGGTGGGGAGGGGAGAAGAGCCCGGGGCGGGGCCACGGGATGCAGGGCTCAGCCCTTGGCCCCCCGCACGGGGGACCATCTGCAGAAACGCTGGAACCAGCCCGGCTCCTCCCCAACAAGCAGCCCCTCGGGAGTCCGCAGGGCCCCCGCCAGGAGGTGTGCCCCCACCAGGAAGCCCCCTCAGGACACAAGCTTCAGCCAACAGGAAGATAGCAGGAAGCGAATGAACTGAACACAAAAGTCTGATCTTTCACCCCAAAGCCAACTGGAGGTGACTGGCTTTTTCCACGGCAGCACTCAGCCCCCCTCCAGCGCCTGGTGGAGGACTTCCAGCCCGCAGCGCTGACTCCCCTGCCAGGCCCCTGCTCCCGTCTCTGAGTGGAGGGCCCCTCACGCCCCGCCCCCATCCCCGCAGGTCCCTGCGGCTGCAGAACCCTGGGGTGTGGTCTTTCTTGGGTTCCGCCAAACCAGGGTTCGGATCCCAGCGTTGCTCTCTCTTGGCTGTGTGACTTAGGGCAAGTCACGTCTCCTCTCTGGGCCTCAGTGTCTTAAATGAAACGAGACCCACTTCACAGAGTGGTGAGGATTCAACGACCCAATTTACATGAAGCTGCTGGCTGGCGTGGAGTAGGTGTTTTTGCGCTTACAACTTAACGGAACTCTCGCTTTGTCTGCTGGGATGACAGCCACCTCCCCCACCCCCTGGAAACCAGGAACCCTGGGCCCACAGACTCCGAGTTGCAGAACAGAAAGGAAAACTCTCACATGAGCCATTAAGAGGACGGCAGTGGAGCCCCTCCCCCTCCATGTCCCTGACCTGCCGGGGACAAAGCACCATCTAACAGTCACTGAGTTAGGGCGCAGAGGACGATGCCCCCCAGGCAGCCATCGACCCCCAGCGAACACCTCAGCTGCACCTTCAGGAGGCTGCCCCGCCGCCCCAGCAGGCCGGCACCCGCCAGGCCGGCGTCCTCTGGTGGAGAAACGTGCAGGGGGCTGGCGGGACCCGTGGCCACACGCTGTCCCGCACCTCCGTTACTGTAAAGAGGGTCCCTCGGCCTAAGGTGATGTCACGTAGCGTCCTGTGTCAGTGGACCACATGCTCTGGAAGCCCTTGGATACTGAGGCTGGCCCAGGCTCTGCGGGCAGGGAAGGCCACCACATGTCTGGGACACGGGTGGGTGCCAGTCAAGGTGGATTGCTGGCCTCTGCAAATTAGAAGGGAGCTGGATGGTTTTCTCATGAAGCAATGGGTCTCTGTCCCTGGCAAGTCGGGGATCCCGCAGTGGCAGTAGCTCCGGGAGCCCGGGAGAGTGAGTCTAGGTGTGGCCTCCACCCAGGCCACACACACGACTGCTTGATTCATGAGCCATTGTACCGCCCCGGGCTGGCCGACCAGAGACTGGCCGACGCCCCCTGGCTGAGTCACTCTGCCTGCCCAGCTGTTTAGTGCCCCTGCTGAGATGGATGCCTGCTGGGGCACATAAGTGCACTTTACAAAATCCTCCCACCTCGTGTCCACTCCCACAGAGCCGTCCACTCGCCTCTCCCCCAGGCCTCTCTGTTCCTGGTCTTCTAATCTGTCTTCTTTCCAGCCTCTGCCCAAGCCGCCCACTGCTGCCCACAAATGCCTGTGTGTTCCTGCTTCCCAACACTTCTCTCCCCCATGGAACGGGTGGCCAGGCACCCTGCCCACAGCTCTGCCCTTTGGGAGGGCTCCTCGGCACCCTCTCTCCGGAACACCTGCGAGCTGGACCACAGTTCAGCCGCCGCCCAGTTTTTACTTGCACCCAGCACCTAGCCACCCATCCCAGAGCCAAACCCAGGCGTTTTCCTCCTTTGTCAGAGGGTCACGAGGGACCCTCCCACGCAGACACGGTGTGAGCCGAGGGGCAGGCCTTGGGACACTCGCTGTGGGTGACGGGGGGCGGGGCCACCCATCCGTGGGGCTCACTGGGGTCTTCTGGTTCCACTCACGCTTGCTCCTAGGTGAGCCACTTACAAAGCGTTGCTGCTGGACTCCCTTGACTTTGCGACCTGATGTGTCAGACAGTCCCGCCTTGGCTGCTGGGCCCGGAGAACTGCTACCATGTGCGCTTGCCACTGTGACGCAGCACCCTTCCCTCTGGGGACACGGCCTCTTCTGCAGTCGATAGATCTGGGGTCTGAAAGCTGGTCCTGGTCCAGAGATGAGGCCGGAGGTCTTGACCTTTGGTGCCGTAGCTGCCCTTTGGGAGGGGCCTGTCCTTAGCAGGGGCAGCTCCGTTTGGCTGAGGTAATTGCCCGGGGAGAGACTCCGCTGTCAGTGATCAGCAGGCTGCCGCCCCCACCACTGCAACCCCCACAGCCGAGGGAACGGGCACCTTGGCCTTGAGGAGGGGGGCTGCGTGGTACTACAGGCAGCCATTGTACATGTGTTGAACTGCTACCACACATCGGACACCTGCTGGGTGTTTCACACAATTCCACCCTGTTAGTCCTGACCGCCGTGCCCTAGGGAAGCATGCGGTCCATGTTTCTTGGGGAAGGATGCTGTGCTGGCCAGGTCGCAGGTCTGCCCGCGTCACAGAGAGACTCAGAAGCACGGGGACTGAGACCCGCTCCGCTCTCCTGGAGCAGCCCAAGTGGGTCGCTGCGGGTCGAGGCACGTATGATGGCTTTTTCCTCCACACCGTTGTGCAGGGCCCGGGCTCCTTCCAGCTCGCCGCCGTCTCCATACCCGGCTTCCGTCTCAAAGTCCGAGGCGGCTGCTCAGCCGGCAGGTGGGAGAAGCAGGGACCTGGAGGACTTGGTGGCATCCCCGCATTCGCTCAGGAGAGTGGTTTCCGTCCTTGTAAAAGCTGCGAGACACACAGCCGGGCACTTCCCAGGGACAGGACCGGAAAGCCAGGGAGGATCTGGGTGGGCGGACAGGAGAGGGCGTGCAGGCAGCGGAGCTGCAGGCAAAGGCGCGGGAGGAAGACGGAGAGCTTGGGGACTCGGGGGCAGTCGGGGGCTGGCAGCCCGCACTGGCAGGCTCTCGTCGAGCACGGCGGGGAGAGGCTGGCTGGAGCGGCCAGGGAGGCTGTGTGCGGGACCCGCAGGAGGGAGGGCTTTTCCCCAGAAATAACGGCCAGTCCGTGGAGATTTTGCCCAGGACAGTGTCGTGGATGGAATGGGAAGCACAATGGCGGCGGGGTGGGGTAGGCGTGAGCCGGCTGACCTGAATGTGGGCATCGTCACGGCGCCTCGTACAGAATTCTGACCAACACACACGTAGCTCCTTTCGTTCATTTTCAGGTGAAGCAGAGAGAGCTCTGTAGTCGGGCCGATCCAGGGTCAGCCTGGTTCAGCAGCTCGTCCCCAGGGGACCTCAGCCAGGTCCCCTCACCTCTCTGAGCCTCAGTGTCTAGGGCAGAAACTGTCTAATGTCCCCCAGAATCCAGTTCTCCCATCTCACATAGTAAGGATATCGTTACCACCCTACTACAGGCTCCTTTCCCAGCCTCCCTTGCAGCTAGGTGTTGCAATGTGACTTCATTTGGCCAATGGCGTGTGAGACAAAATGATACACTGTTTCCTGGCTGTGCAAATAAATAAGTGAATAAATGATAAACACATGATCCAATGAAGGAACAAACTAAAGTTCCAGGGAAGAATGGATGCCTTCAGCAGGTATTTTCCTGAGCACCCACTGTGCGCCGGGCTCTTGCTCGCTGCTGAGGGTGCAGCCGTGAACCACACAGTTGAAGTGCCTGCTTTCCCGGAGCTGAGAGGACAATGAGTGCACTAGAAAAGATACAAGCGCACGAGATCATTTCAGGGCATCTGCACAGGGACAGAAGAAACAGAAAGCTGGGTAGGAGGGGAGGGTGGCGGGGAGGCTGACTCAGAGCGGTCAGGGAAGGCCTCTTGGAGGTGGTGACACCTGAGCCCGGGCTTGAGTGGAGGAAAGGGCTGGCAGGGCGCGGGTTTCCGGAGGGAAGAGGGGCCTGAGAGCCGGCCGGTGTGGCCGGAGCCGAGCGACGGAGGGGAGGCCGGCGGGTGAGCCGGTGGCCCCACACGGGTCCTTCTCTCCGCAGACCCAGCGGAGCTGAGCAGCGGGGAGACCGAGGAGCTGCAGCGGATCAAATGGCACCGGCAGCAGCTTCTGGAGGACATCCAGGCGAGTGCACACGCACACACTCACACTGACAAAGGCACATTCCCCACACACGCTCCCGCGGGCACACCCCCGAACCACGCACTCCCACAGACTCTCCTCCATGCTCGCGCCCCTCCCACTCACGCCTGACCCGGCCCGGGCAGAGAGGAGGTGCGACTCCAGCCGCACCCAGCCTCAAGCCCAGCCCTCAGGAGCGGGGAGCACAGGGTCCCCGGGGGACCCCCCTCACTGCCGGACTGAGCTGCCGGGAGAGGGCTGGGGGAGCAGGGCGGGACAGGCAGCAGCGTGTCAATGCCCTCCCGTGTGCGGAGCCCGCCTGGGGCTCTACACCCCCTTCGCACGGTGGGTTCCACTCCTGCCTGCGCGGCTTTACTCCGCCCTCGTCCCCGTGCCCAGCCTCAGCTTCATCCCCCCGAAAAATGGGGGTCATCAGGTCAACACAGCACCCATATGGGCCCAGCCCCTGTCAATGCACCCGTGTTTCAGATGTCCGCCCATCTGACGCTCAAGAGCCTTCTGAGACAGGCCCTGGCTCGGTTCCAGGGACACGCTGAGCCCAGCCCTGCCCCTGGGCCTTTGCACTCACGGTTCCCTTCCCCCGAGACTCTCCCGGACGCTCGTCGTGGCTCCTCCTCACTAGTTCAGTCTTGGCTCTCCTGCTGCCTCCTCTCGGAGGCTGCCCTGACCGCCCCGGCTACAGTGGCCGGGACCCCACCTCACCCTGACACAGGCTCGCCTCTGGCGTGGGAAACGGTGGAGGTACAGAAGCGTGCGCTCAGCGGGGACCTCCCAGAGCCCCTCCCACGTGCCAGGCTTTCCCCGCACCATCACTGTGATCGTTCTCTGCACAGTCCTTTCCCTCCCGCGGGGCCACCACGATCCCAGCCCCACTGGACTGCGTGCCTGGGTCTGTCTTGCCCACCACTGTGTTTGCGGCCCAATAGTCAGAGCATAGTAAGCGCTCAGTTAATACTTGTGAGGGAGTCCCTGTTTTATTTTCGGGGAAGCCACTCCGTGAGCCAGCTGAGATCACGTGGACAGGAGCTGACTGGGCACAGATATAGGTTCCAGGTCCCATGCTATCTGTCCCTGTGTCCTAGGACAAGCCCCTGGGACTGCCCCCATCCTCAGATCTTGGGGGAGGAAGGGGAGGACTGGGTGCCCCCTGGGGGCTCGTGCTGTTGCCCTGCAGGGGGATGGGGGTCACGACGCCACTTCGCCCTGTCTGCTCAGCAATGGCAGTTGGCAGAGATAGGGGTTGTCCCCTGCCCCTGGGCACCCCGTGCAGGGTCACGAGGAAACAGGCTTGGGGCTTGACTCTAGTCAGAGGCTGAAGTCAGACCTTAGTCATGCCCCTTTGCCTCTCTATGCCTCAGTGTCCTTGTCTGCAAACTCCACAGGGACTGCAAAGTCCCCGCATTTCCTAGTCCCCGGTGTGCCCACAGTACCTGGCACGCAGCAGGCCCCGAGCCCAGGACAAGTGTCAGAGTGAACAGACAGACGGAGGGAAGCCGCAGAGGGGCTGGGGCCCCTCACAGGGCGGCCTGTGTGCCTCCTTCCTGGGGGGGGGTGGGGGTGGGGGCAGGGCAGGGGGAGCCGTGGACGGAGTCTGAGTGGGGGCGGGGCAGGCACCAGTGCACTGCAGCAGGAGGGCAGCTGGGTGGAGAGGGGCTGGTGGGTGGGCGTGGCTAGAGGGCAGGAGCTGCACACCTGCAGAGGGGAGAGATGGGAAGGGCGAAAACAGAGTCGGGCAAAGGCAGGGGTGACCTGGGGACTGCCTTCCCAAGCGAGGAGATGGTGGAAGAAAGCATACAGACAAACGCACTAGTGCGGTCTGGGACTTGGAGGATATGAGATATCTGGGGTGGGGACCTCTCAGGAAAGAGAATTTGGGGTCACGCCCAGGGTGGGAGTGGGTATGGGGGAGGGCCGTACAACCCGGTCTACCCGAGCTCCGGCTCCCTGACTCTCCCTCCCCGTTCTTGCCCTCCCCCCACCGCCGCCCCACAGAAGCTGAAGGACGAGATCTCAGATGTGTTTGCCCAGATCGACTGCTTCGAGCTGGCCGAGGAGAGGTGAGGGCCTGGCTAGGGGGCCCCGGGAAGCTGCCCGGGTGGCTTCCAAGGGATGTCACAGGTCTGGAACGAGGGGAGCCACGCCTGGGCTGGGGCCCAGGTGAGGTCAGGGATCGGCCCGGAGGAGGAGGCGGCGGGGCACTGGGATAGGAACAGGGCGGCGGGACCCTCCATCGTGCTGGTCCGGGCCTTGTTCCCACACGGCCCCTCTCTTGAGAGACAGCCCCATCCTGCCAGCCTCTGCACCCAAAGGCGCTTCCAACCCGCCCTGACCCATCCCTTGACCAGTGGCCACTTAGGAGCATCCTGGGAGGGGCTTGGGAGAAGGAAAACTCGGCCCCAACGTGGAGGACGGGGAAGCCAGGGGTCTCAGCGGGGCAGGAGCCTGGCCGGGGGCAGGGCGGAGGGTGGTTTCCTTCAGTCCGCCCACAGGCTGTCACTCACCCGGCCACTTCTATGGGGAGGCTCCCACAGGCTCTGTGACCCGGGCTAGTCTCGTCCCCTCTCTGGGCCTCAGTTTCCCCACTTGTGAGATGAGATTGTTGGTCCCTGCATAATCCCCGAGGGCCCCAGGACACCGACTCTTCTATCCAGGGTCCCAGGAAACTCCCACCCCGCCCCCAGCCCCCTTAGTCCTCTGCCGCCTCCAGTGCCCACTGTCCCGTGCCACTCAGCCGCAGACAGACGCCCATGGGTGATCACGGGCCTGTCTCCAGACTCGCCGGTCAGGCTGCAACAGTAACAACATAGCACCTCCAGAGCGCCCGCCGCCACCTATTTCCAGCGCCTTAACCTCCCAACAGCGCTGGGAGGCAGGTGGCCACGTCCCCCCTGTCCCAGATGAGGGAACTGAGATGGAGCGACTCTCCCTGCGTGGCTGTGCCGGCAACGGCGGGACGGGATGCGAGCCGGGAGGCTGGCTCCGGAGCCTGAGCCCTCGGCCCAGCCTCTGCGTCACGGTCACAGGGCCGCACCCCCAGCATGGGGCCCCCACTGCCCCTCCGGGAGCAGCTCGGAGCTCTCCAGGCCCCGGTGCTGGGCCGGTTGGAAGGATTCGGTGTGGGAGCTCCAGGAGGGCCCTAGGGAGTATTGGCTGTAGCTAAGGGGAGTCTTCAGGGTGTCCGAGAGTCCTTGGAGGTTGCGGGGGTGCCCTTGGGTGCTGGGACAGCCCACACTGACACCCACATGTCTGCAGCCGGATGGCCCAAAAGGAGAAGGAGCTGTGCATTGGGCGAAAGAAGTTCAACATGGACCCCGTGAAGGTAGGCAGGTGTGGGGGGCTCGGGGCGTGGGGTCGGGTTGCTGCATGCTGGGTGCCTTCATAATGTTCTCTTGTTTCTCCCAACCAACACAACAGCCGCCCCTCAGGTGAGGGGGCCGAGATGCAGCAGGGCTCAGTGTCCTGCCCAGTCACGGGCAGGGGCTCTGTCACCCACGGCACAGCAGCCCCAGGCGTGAGTGGGAGCCAGGAAGCGGGGGGTGGGGCCTGGAGTCTATGGTGTCCGTGGACTTGGAGTCCCTCGGCACCAGGCCTCTGCTTCCTCCTCTGCTGGTGAGGCACGGGACAGGGTGACGTCACACTCTGGGGCTCGGTCTCCCCAGGTGTCTCCCAGCCACTCGGGTTGGGGGAGCCACAGCTGGGGTGCAGGCCCAGAGCACTCAGGGCTCGGCGGCTACTCTCCCCGCCCTAACACGCCCCCCCAGCCCCACCCCCCGTCACCCCACGAGGGGGTTGTGGGCTCCTTTCCTGCAGGAACACGGGCAGGAGGAAGCCACGAGCTGACACACGGGGGGGGGGGCGGTGCAGCCAGGGGGCCTTGGAAATGTACCGCTCGGGCTGCAAAGGCTCCCCCCTTCCCTGTCTCAGGCCCACGGCATCACACGCCCACCTGCCCCCCACAGCCGCAAAAATTGGCCCCCTGAGCCATCCACAGGGAACACCCCCCCCCACTGACACTCTCCCCACCCAAGCCCCTGGCAAGGGCCACTGGGGGATCCCCAGGGTCCCGTGCCTGTCATCCAGGGCATCCCTCAAACTGCCTCCCCCGCATCTTCCAGAAGTTTCTCTTTCTCCGAAAGGAGCAGGGACATGAAATGAAGGACCCATCACAGAAAACAGAGGCCAACCCCTCAAATTCCTAAAACGCCACTGACATACTCCCAAGTGCTTGGGCGGTGGGGAGAGGTGCCCGTGAGGTTGTCAAGACAGCAGAGCAGGTGTCAAGGCGGAAGGCCTGGCACACTGTCACTGCCGTGCAGAGCGGAACTGAGAGCCACCGCCACGGGAACTGTCCCCCTCCGAGCGGCAGGCCTTGGGCAAGTTCTTTTTTTTGATTTGGCTGTTTTTTCTAATGTTTATACAATGGACAGAGACTACCTGCAAGAAAGAAAATGAAACGCTATTTTTAAGTAACGTGAACTTTAAGGGACAAAAGAAGTGGCTAAATCATTGAATCTTAAAACCGTAAATTAGTGGGATCGTTGATGCAGATAATCAATGAGCGTCAGGCCGCAGGGAACCCTGGGGAGCCCCTGGCAGGAGCGTGGCTCATTACAGAAACCATGTCTCTCTTTGCACACCTCCCTGTGATGGGGAGCTCACCACCTTACAGAGGCATCTTCTGCTAAGGACAGACACAACTCCCCAGAACGGTCACGAGGCTCTGGCCCCGGGGGGCTCCCTCCCGCCCTCCCCCCGGACCGGCTGCTCACGTGTCTGCATACCCCTTGCAGGGCATCCAGTACCTCATAGACCACAAACTGCTGACCTCCAACGCCCAGGACATCGCCCGGTTCCTGTACAAGGGCGAGGGCCTCAACAAGACGGCCATCGGCACCTACCTGGGGGAGAGGTAAGGGGGCGGGGCCCGAGGGAGGCAGGGACTGAGGGCGTGCTGGTGTGCGCAGGTTAGCGTGATGTGTGTGCAGGCGAGCGAGGAAGTGAGTTATGTTAGGGAAGTCAGCACCCGGAGCTCGAGGAGGCGAGCCGTCACTTCCGCCCGGATTCCAACCCGGAGCCCGCCTTCCTTCCCCCTTCTCTCGTGTTTCCAACAAGGGACATTTGTTAGCGCCTGCTGTGCGCCGGGCGCTGTTCCAGGCCCTGAGTCTACACCAGTGATCCAGGCAGCCGGAACCCCTGCCCTCAGGGAGGTGCATACCAGTGGGGAAGGCAGATTCCCAAATACTTCAAGCACGCTAGAAAATGATAAACTCTGGAATACAAATAAAATGGTGAAGGGAGGTGAGAGGGGCTGAGGACCACAGACCAAGGGCTGTGACATCAGGGTGGACAGGAACGGTCTCATGGAGAGGGCAGGGTAGACTTCTGGGGGAAGAGCATTCCAGGCAGAGGGAACAGCATGTGCAAAGGCCTCAGGACAGCCCTGGCTGGCGTAGCTCAGTGGATTGAGCTCGGGCTGCGAACCAAAGTGTCGCAGGTTTGATTCCCAGCCAGAGCACATGGCTGGGATGCAGGCCATGACCCCTAGCAACTGCACATTGATGCTTCTCTCTCTCTCTCTTTTTCTCCCTCCCTTCCCTCTCTAAAAATAAATAAATAAAATCTTTTTAAAAAAAGGCCTCAGGACAGAAGTGTGCCCAAGGAGCAGCAGGCTGGTGAGCCTGGGAGAGAGAGCAAGGGAAGGGGGCAGGAAACAGTGGGTGACAAGGCAGGGACCCTCGGAGGGTTCTAGGCAGAGTCGTGGTCTGAGACCCCTCTGGCTGCAGGGCTGGGGGGCTGGGACTGTAAGGGACCAGGGTGGAGCTGAGCCAGCGAGCCAGCCACCCCTCTCCCAGACTCCCCAGGGGACACATTTCTTCTCCTGAGCAAGTGGGGAACACAGGCGGCAAGAAGGGCAGCATGTCCTGATCCAGGAGCCGGGAAGAGGGAGGAGCCGGCTCGGCAGGGTTGTCCCCATTTCACAGGCCACCACACCTCTGCCCGAACCCCCCATGGGTCCCTGCCTTGTCACCAGCTGCTTCCTGCCCCCTTGCTCTCTCCCAGGCTCACCAGCCTGCTGCTCCTCGGGCATGCTTCAGTCCTGAGGCCTTTGCACATGCTGTTCCCTCTGCCTGGAATGCTCTTCCCCCAGAAGTCTACCCTGCCCTCTTCCTTCCAAGTCCAGTCAGCCATACCCTTTCTGTGAGACTGTTCCTGTCCACGCTGGCGTCACTGCCCTTGGTCTGTGGTCCCCAGGCCCTCTCACCTCCCTTCCCCACTTTATTTGTATCCCAAAGAGTGTATAATTTTCTAGCATGCTTGAAATATTGGGGGAGGGCAAGTGGCTTGAGAGGTGTCACCCAGGCAGGCAGGGACCGAGGAAGGCTTTGACTCAGGGAAAGCGCCACCCCCAGGCTAGGGGGGAGCAGCGCTGGTGAGCCGGGGGGGGCGGTGGGCTCTGTTCACGTTCGGGAGGCATGGCGTGCACGTGGGGAGGGGCGGGGGGTGCGGGCTGATGTGGGGTCAGACAGATACGAGCAGGCCAGAGAGCGGCCGGATCCAGAAGGAGGACACCTGTCCCCTCTTGTCCTTTGCCCACCTCAGTCCCCTCCAGGAGGCAGGGACCAGAGCGTTCCCCAGTGCCTCCCACCCTCCCTTCTGCCCCCCCAGGGACCCCATCAACCTGCAGGTCCTGCAGGCCTTCGTGGACTGCCACGAGTTTGCCAACCTCAACCTCGTCCAGGCCCTCAGGTGAGCAGGCCCAGGCCCGGCCCTGGAGCGGGGCGCGGCCCGGGTGGGGGTGTGGGGGCCATCACGGGCTGCCTGGCGAACAGCACGAAGTGTCAGGAGCGGGAACGAATGAACGACAGTGCCCGCCTCGTGCTCGCTCAACTAAGGGCGGCGGGATCACTGGCGTGGACGGCCTGAGCCGGCACCCGGCTCGTTACGGCTCCTACCACGGCGTTATTCCGTTACCACGTTGCTATAACAATATTTAATCTTTGGAATCGTTATTACTATTAGTACCGCCGTGCCCACTACTTTCCAAGGTGGCACTTGTTTTATTTCCTTAATATAGCTTAGTGTGTGTTGCCTTATTATTGCTTATTATTTTCTAATTATGTTATTATCATTCCTACTGCTAGTTTTACAACTACAGGAGGCATTATAGCGTAATGGTTAGGAGCATGAGTGCCCAATTCATGTCCCAGCTCTGCCATTCACCCCCTGTGTGGCCTTGGGCAACTCACAAAAGCCTCTCTGTACCCCAGTTTCTTCATCTATAAAATGGGGATAATAATAGTACTAACCTCACACAGCAGTGAGGATTAAAGGAGAAAGTGCTTTGCATTGGGCCCGCAGTAAGTGTTTAGGAAGTCTTTTTTAAAAATATTTTATTTATTTATTTTTAGAGAGGGAAGAAAGGGAGAGAGAGAGAGAAACACCAATGTGCGGTTGCTGGGGGCCGTGGCCTGCAACCCAAGCATGTGCCCTGACTGGGAATCGAACCTACGATGCTCTGGTTCGCAGCCCATGCTCAATCCACTGAGCTACACCAGCCAGGGTGTGTTTAGGAAGTCTTAGGAAATCAGCCCCTCAGAGGGGGCATTTGAGCTGGGTTTTGTAGGATGATAGGAGTTTTCAAGGAAGAGAAGAAACTGCCACTATCTAGGCAATGTGGCCTTCCCTCCGACTGCCAGGCTCGCTAGCGAGAGGAGTAGTTTCCAATATTCACTCACTCATTTGACAAGTCTTTATGGAGCAGTTCCTGGGTGCCTGGGCCTGTGGGAGGCCCGGCGAGAGAGGTGACAAGAACAGGCACAGCCCTCGCCCTCAAGGTGTGGGGTTTAACGTTGTGGAGCTCATCGACTTCCAGAGCTGGAAGCTTAGGTTCCAAGAAAGGGAGCCCTCCCACCCTCAGGGGGAGGCCAGGCGGGGGCGCTGCAGAGCCCAGATCAGTCAGGGGCTCCCTCATTGGCTGGGCCAGCAAAGGTCCCAGGACTCAGCGGGGCAGAGGGGAGCACGGCCTCAGCTCTGCATTTTGAAGGAGGAAAAAAAGACACCTGTGGGAAACCTCCTGCATGCCCGGCGGCACAAATCCCTGTAGAGCGTAGATGACAAGTCAGACCCACCCGCCTACAGGACAAAGAGACAAAGCCTGGGAGAGGCAGAGTGGCCTGTCTGGGTCCCCCACCCACCCTGCTGCCCACCGCCCTGCTCCTCCCCCAGGCAGTTCCTGTGGAGCTTCCGGCTGCCCGGCGAGGCCCAGAAGATTGACCGGATGATGGAGACCTTTGCCACCCGATACTGCCTCTGCAACCCGGGCGTCTTCCAGTCTACAGGTGCCGGTGTGGGGTGGGACCTGGGGCTGCGGGGCCCCTTCAGCATCCCCGGGCACAGTGGGGCTGCCTCCCAGAGCACCACGGCTTCCCCGAGCCCTCTGGTCCCCACCCCCAGCACCCGGACCCTGGGATCGCAGGCCATTCCCAGCTCCCGCTGAGTGCCTCAGGCTCTGGGCCTGGCCCTCTGTGGGGCATTTGTTGGGCACAGCTGCCGGGGGGCACGCTCCTTAGGAGGAGAGGCAGGAAGGGGCGGCATGGGGTGCTGGGGCAGCCACACACCTGTCTGTCTGAGGGCAGCGATGGGGGAGTCTGCGTGTCCAGGATGGCTTCCCAGAGGCAGTGGGTCTGAATGGGGTTTTGAAGGATGAGTAAGAGTTTTCCAGGAGGTCAAGGGGAGAAAAGGCCTTGCGGGCAGGAGTTCTAGTTCGAGCAAAGGCCCAGAAGCATGAAGCAGCCTGGGCAGGACTTAGGGGGTAAAGGGACATAGAGGGATGTCACCAAGAGTCAGCCCTCCACACTCCCCCGCACGGGGTGGATGAGAAGACAGCACAGCAGGCTTGTCCTGGTCTCTTCGCAGAAGCTGAGGTTACCATAACAACAATAACCAGTTCCATGTGCTGAGTGCTCCCCATGTGCTAAGTGCTGTACCCAAACGAGGCCATGCAATCCTTGCAGTGAGTCCGTGAGGTCTGCGGTGTTCTCGCCCCTGCGCAGAGCACAGACCCAGAGAGGCGCTGGCTGGTCCGCCGACACGCCACGTCGGGGCAGCGTGTCCACACCCAGGCCCCGCAGGGCATCCGCCCTGGCTCGCAGTTATACACGATTTTACTGTTGGCTGGTCTTATTATCTGTCCGCACTGCAAGTCTGAATGCCCCACGAGAGTGGGACCGTATCAGAGTTACTCACCAGTGAATCCCCAGCCCACCGCACCTAGTAGGTACTCAATAAATATTTGCAGGAAGAGAGGGATTTTAAAGCACCAAACTTGAATCACGGTCCAACTGCTGTTTAATTCTATACCCTTGGGCATGGAACGTAACCTCCCCGTGCCTCGGTTTCCTCATCTGTAAAATGGGGCTGGAGACGAGACCTGCCCCATGGGGTCGTCATGGAGATGGGAAGGCTTACCACGGGGCATGCACCACCAACGTCAGGTGCCGCTGGTGTCAGAGGTAGAAACACTGACGTTCTAGAACGTGAAACGACTTCAAAGTCAAACCTCTGACAGTCACAGATGAGGAAGCTGAGGCTCAGCGAAGTCAGGGATTTTCCCAAGGTCGACCAGAGAGGGCCGGGGGCACACTGGACCTCCCTGGCTGCGGACACTGCCCACAGAGCAGCGGTTGCCTCCCTCCCAAGTGCTCCGCCCACCGCGCAGCCTCGCTGCCTTGCAGAGGGTAGGAGCTCTGGCCCTGGAGGTGCTCCATGCTGCCAGGTCACCGGGCAGCGGCACATGACTAAGTCCGAACAGTGGTGCCATCATCCAAGGCCCAAGTGGGCAGAGAACAGAGGGGGCGGGGGGTCGGAAGGGCTCGGCAGGGAGGAGGCTGGAGCTGAAGGAGAAGGAGGTTTGAGAGGCTAGGAAAGGGAAGGGGAGGGTGCACCTGGCAGGGCACCCAGTGGGAGCAAAGGTGCAAGGGCGGGAAGGCACGGGGGTGCCTCATGAACACGACACTGGAGTTTCCTTGGAGCAGGGAGCCCAGTAAGGGCGTGGAAGGTGAGGCCGGGCCTCAAAGGCCAGGCCAGGAGGACAGGGTGGGCCTTCGGGCCTCGAGACGGCTGATCCTTGACCCCTAGAAGGGGTCGGGGCAGAGGAGGGGAGAGCGACCAGGGCCGTGACCGCCTCGCTGTCCCACCTGCAGACACCTGCTACGTGCTGTCCTTCTCCATCATCATGCTCAACACCAGCCTCCACAACCCCAACGTCCGGGACAGGCCGCCCTTCGAGCGCTTCGTGTCCATGAACCGCGGCATCAACAACGGCAGCGACCTGCCCGAGGAGCAGCTGCGGGTAAGGGGGGCGCCGCCCCACCCAGCCCGGTGCCCGGACATCTGGGCAGGGCCCGTCCTACATGCACAGTTCAGGGGCGGGGGTTCTGCTCCAAATGGACCACCACGAAGGAGGTTGGTCCTGAGCTGGCCCTTCCCAGGTGACCCCCACCTCAAGGAGGATGTGCAGAGAGAGGCCACCCAGCAGTTGCCGCCACACTCGGCACCCATTTCGCGTTTCCAGAAAGGGTGCCTCGAGCAGCCCAAGTCTGATTCTTGGAATGGCAGATTCTCAGATTTTGAGTGTGTCATGGCTGCAAACCCTCACGCCCGGCGCCCAAACTCCTCCCTCCTTCAGAAAGGAGGAAGCGGGTCTTCCACCAGGTTGCACACCAGCTGGGGTGCAGAGCAGAACCCAGGCCTCCTGTCTCTCCACCAGGCAGCCCCCACCCCTGCCACAGTGCGCCCGGCCCTGTGTCCCGACGGGGCTCCCAGGGAGAAAGCAACCACAGGCCCTGCCGGACCAGCTCCGGGGCTGGTGGGAGGACACATGTGAATTACAGCCCTGGGTGACTCATGCTCTGCTAACTACAGGGACATAGCCGTGGAGACCCAGGGGACACGACGTCTCTCTCCTGGGGGGCAGGGGAAAGCTGCGTCATCCTAGAAGACTCCACACAGGAGGAGACTTTTGAACTGGGCCTTGCAGGTTTAATAGGAGACTGACTCCCCAGAGGAGAAGTAGGGGAAGGACCCTTCAGAAAGAGGAAGTGGCCAGAACCCAGGCCTGGCCTGATTGGAGAAGGGTGGGGAGTCCAGAGTGGCTGGCCAGGGTCTCGGTGCCTGTGGACAGTGACACGTGGTGAGGTGGGGCCCACGGGCCCAGGGTCTCAGTGGCAGTTTCCTGTGGGCCACGGGGAGCCCGGAGCAGCTTGTAGACCCTGGAGTGAGACTCGGAGCAGGGCTCCGAAAAAATGGACAGCTCCTTCCCAGGACTAGCGGTGCCCCTCTGCAGATCAGAGCCCAGCAGGGGTGTGGGAGCATGGGAGCCCCGCCCCCCCCCAGGTTCACACCAGGCTCACACCGCAGGCACCTCCTGCAGAAGTCGGGGTGGGGGTGCGCTGGGTCTGGAATGATGCTGGTGCCCCTCCCTGTGTGAGAAGGGCCCTCAGCCCACCACCCCTCCTTGTCCCAGCAGACAAAATGTATCGTGGTGGGGAGCTCCGGTCAAATCTCACCTCCCCTGGTGGCCTGCTGAGTGACCTTGGCCATGGCTCACCCTCTGCAAGCCACCATCCCCCCAAGACAGGAGAATGGGGACAATGGTGCCTGCGTCACGGAGCTGCTGGGAGCAGTCATTTTTTTTAATGTAAAGGGCACAGTCCACACCAGGGACGTAGCTCAGGCCCTAAATGGTGGCTTATGCCACCACTCAGAATAATTAATAATAATTTTAACTCCCTGGCACTTCCGAAAACGCCTGAAACATAAAAGGCCTTCCAGAATTGTTGACTCATCTCATTGTGGCGAAGCCGAGCGCACCTTGTCTGGCAGTGAATGAGTTAACGGGGGCCAGCTCAGCCCCGCCAGCTCTCCCAGGTGCCTCATTACAGCTGCAGCCCCTGGTGAGCCTTTATCAGCATCTCCCTCCTCGGATATTTTCCCCAACTTCAGCCTTTTGTTGATAACAATGCACTGCATTTGTATAGCGCTTGTAACTTTCAACTCCTAGGGCTTGCTGGTCTATTAGCTCAATTTAGCTTCAAACTCTGCCTGGGAGGTCTGGGGAAGGGTTCATTATCCTCCCTGGCGGCCCAGAGAGGCGGGGGCCCAGCAGGGAAAAGAACAGAGCGCTGGAGTCAGGGCCACATCCAAGGCCCGGCTCCCCCACTTTCTGGTTGTGTGACATTAGGCACACGGCTTGACCTCTCTGAGCTGCCAGCTCATGGGATTAATAGAGAAAGGTGAGGGATTTAGCCATGTGCCTGGTATAATTGGGGGGACTGATTAATGTGGAAGCATCAGAGAGAACCGCACAGGCCTGGTCCCAGCTCTTCATGGGCTCCCCGGGAGCTGCTGTGGACTGGGGTGGGGCCCTCTCCCCCCTCCCTGGGCCTCGTCTTCCCCAGTGTAATAAAGCAAGGACTCAGTGTTGAGCACTTCAGATATTCGAAGTTTGCCCCTTTGCAGAAGGGGTCCTCGTGAAGCTATTCCAGCCTGGGCCCTCCAGCCTGAGGACGCATAGCCCTTTTTAAATGGCCTGGTTTATGAAATCAAACTGATGCAGGTGCATCACCTAAAGAGAAGCCACCCCCAGGCTTGCAGACCAGGAGGGTGCGCAGCCGGGAAAGGCTTCGGGGAAGTGCACTTGGGGGTGAGGGGCAGGTGGGTAGAGCAGGCACTGCTCTGGCCCTCGTGATGGGCCAGGACAGATGGGACAGTCCCCTATGGGACTCAGGGCAAGGGAACGGGGTGCGGACTCAGAGGATGGGAGAGCAAATCCCAGCCCCACCTTTATGGTTGTGTGACCTTGAGTCTGAGCCTCAGTTTCTTCATCCACAAAGTGGGCTGATGACACTGAGCTTACATTGTTTTCCTAGAAGCAGACAGAATGCAATTCAAGTGCTTGGTACTTGACAGGCACAGGAGAAATGAGACAGAATCACTCACCTCGAGAGAGCTGCCCAGAGAGGGAGGGAGGGAGGGATAGTGGAAGAGGAGGAGAAGGGGGTTTATAAGTGGAGAAACTGAGGCCCAGGCAGGGGACAGTCCCCTGGTTCAGGACATCATCTGCTGTGAAGTCCAAGTTGGCTCCATCAGAACGGAGTGTGTCCGAGCCCAGTTCTAGGTACTACATGTCCTCGGTAAGTTCTCGAGACAGCCTTAGGCAGGAGGTACCACCCGCCGTTTACAGTGAAGGATACTGGGCTCCAAGAAGTGTAGTTGGTCAGGGAGGGGTTTCATAGCTTGTAGGCAGTTTATATTCGAACCCATATCTGTCTGACTCCAGAGCCCTTCCCTCTGCAGAGACCAAAGGCATGATTTAGGGATAGAGGACTTAACTGTGTGTCCCTGCTGCCAGTTGCTTGCTGGCTAGAGGAATCTCAACTCATGTAACAGAAAAGATATGGGATTGATCTGTCTTCAGATAAGTCTATGGGCTTCAGGCTTGGCTTGATCCAGGTGCTCAGTGAGGTTGGACTCAGTCTAATCTCTCCAGCTGTCAGCAACTGCCTCCTCCATGTCAGCTTTCCTCTGCAACAGGCCTTCTCCTAGTGGGGGCAGAGAGGGCCAGGCATCCATGTAGCCTCGTTGTTTAAACTAAAGTCCCAGAATGCAGGCTAGTTGGCTGGCTTAGGTCACCTCCCTCCCAGAACCTGTCACTGTGACCAGCAGGATGAAATGCTTTGAGTAGCCCAAAGGGAATCATTCTCACCCTGTGGCCCAGAGCCTAAGGTGGGGGCAGTAGGTGCCAATCCCCTTGAGCAAAGTGGACAGAGAGTGTGTTTGGGGTGGGGGGTGAGTCCCCAGAAGAAAACTAAGGGAGTGGAAAGGGACAGATGCAGGACCAGCAGAGCCACCAGCAGACGACCATGGTCTGTCTGGTCAAGTCCACCCAGCAGCAGAAGACAGCCTGGCCCCGCAGTTTGGTGGTGGCAGGTGTGGGGGAGTTTTCTTACTAGGGAAGGGGGTTGGCATTTACAAGGCACAGGAAGTGTGGGTGAGCCGAGCCGGTTTCCTTGTGGGCGCAGCGTGCGCAGGCTGATAAGGTGCCCACTGAAGCTGCCAGGGCCCCCCAGTGGGTGTCGGGGAGTCTCCCGTTCCCACCTCCCCCCGCCTCCCAGATATTGTCTGTGCTGATAGCTTTGCTAACGAGGCTTTTCTGCCACAGGCCCTTGTTTAACCGCCTGTGCCACTTGGGAATTCCCAGGGCCGGGCCGGGCCCGGGCGGGAGGAGCAGCGGGGCTTCCTGGCTGCACCAGGGGGTGCAGGGGCCCCCCAAAAAAGCACGGCCCCCGCTCTTCCCCCACGCCCACCCACCGCAGCCAGGCCGAGCCCAGGGACTCTGGCGTCCGTGGCAGGGGGACCCCTCCACCCAACTCAGGAAAACCTGCTCCCAGACTGCCCCCGACACCCCAGCTCTCGGGTCAGAAAAGGCCTTTAAAAGGCAAACACCAGCGCTAAATCTTGGGGTGAACCCAGCAGGACTTGGGAAATGTTTCATTTAAAGTTTTGAGGAAACCGTCTCAGCAGCAGCGCACACGAACGCAACAGAAGGCGATGATTTCATTGCCTGGGAGACGGGAAACCAGCGCTGTGCCCGGCTTTCACGAGCAGGAGTGGACAGCCTGGAATGTTTTCCCAAACACCGGGAAGTCTGAGTAGGTTGTTCATGAAACGAAGTGCCCCGAGGGTTCAAAACACACGGGAATGATCCATCGCCGACATCCTCCACTCGCCTGGAGGAAGGTTTTGGCCCTGGCTTGCATACCTCCAGGGACGAGGCACTCATTATCCTACAAGGTTGCTCCTTCCGGATTTCAGCAGCTCTGCTAGAACATCCTCCATGGAGAACTGAATTCCACTTTCTGGGAACTCCCCCCACCCCCAATCAGAGCCCGCCCAGAGCAGGCCATTGCCTTTGAGAGCCAAGGTCAGCGTTTCACTGCGAGTCCCCCCTCGGCCGGGCCTCTCAACACAGGCAGCCGGTCCCAATCCCCCGGCAGGTGCTCTGTGTCCCCCCACCCACCCAGGGTGCACCTAGAAGCCTCTGCTACTGCCCCGAAGCAGAGCGTGTCCCCAGGAGGCCTTGACCTTGGCTGCTGTGCCCCAGAGCGTGCACCTAGGTGTCTGTGTTTGTATGTGTGTGTGGGGGCCCCTGCATGCACATACAGGTGAACGGGTGTGGGGGTGTACGGGTCCCAGCCGAGTGTCCTTGCCTCCAGCACCCTCAGACACAGGGGTGACAGTCTGCGACTGACCCATAAGAGCAGCACCTGGGGGTCAGGGTGCAGGGGTGGGGGCTGTACTTCTGTCTCCTCGTCACCTTCCCTTGACCTGGAGAAGGGGGCTCTGACCCCTGTGTAGTCTACTTACTCCCCCCAGAGCCCTGGCCAATCACACTCGTCCTCTCCATGTATCGGGTAAGGACACAGCAACTCAGAGAGGTCGAGGGGCAGCCACTCAGCAGCCGGGCTGGGACTGTAACCGACAGCCTGACGCCAAAGCCAGTGCCCTTGTCCCCCCGCCGTGCGCTTCCACGCCACGGGCTGGAACTCAGGGGGCGAGGGGCCACAGCGTCCGTTCAGTCAGCAAACAGCGGCCAGCTGGCTTTAGGCCAGGCCCCGGGGGAGGCCGGGGGTCGTGACACCCAGGCCTTCCCTGGAGGAGCACCCCCATTTGGGAAGGTCAACGCCAGCAAGCACATTGAACTTGAAATATTGACGGCCGCGTGGGGGCAGCGGGTGGGGCCGTGGGCAGTCTCTCCGGGGTGTGGGCCGGCACTCCCTCGGCGGGGGGGGAGAGGGGAAGGGGGGCATGGGGACGGGCTGGGGAGCCCCAGTGGGCCTGGAGGAGCCAGGAAGAGTCTGGCCAAGAAGGCAAACGACACGCTAACAGGGTTCGCCTGAAGCAAAGGGTTCGCCTGAAGGCCCAGCGCCTGCCGGAGGCCGCAGGGGCCGGCACAGGCCCTCTCAACTGCAGTGAACATCACCGCCCGGTCTTTCCCTCCCTCCTTTCCCGGCCAGAACCTCTTCGACAGCATCAAGAGCGAGCCCTTCTCCATCCCCGAGGACGACGGCAACGACCTCACGCACACCTTCTTCAACCCCGACCGCGAGGGCTGGCTGCTCAAGCTGGGTGAGAGGCGGGCACGCTCGGGCCCGCTGCGGCACACGGCGACACGCACAGGCACACGCACTCACGCCACGCTCGGGCCCACGCAGACACACACACACACACACGCACTCACACCATGCTCAGGCCCACGCAGACACACACACGCACTCACGCCACGCTCAGGCCCACACACACACACACACACACACACACACACACGCACGCACATTGACACGGAGCCTCAGGGTGGAGTCGAGGGGGCCCCAGGCGCCTGCCTCCCAGGGCAGCGGTCGGCCTGCCCCATCTCTCCCTCTGTCTGTCCTGGAAATGCAGGGGACAGTGGGGGAGGGGAGGACAAACAGGAGGGGGATGAACGGTGGCAAGTCCACAGACAAACCCCTAACTACAGTTCTGCCTCTGCCCCCGCCCGGGGCTGCTGGGGAAGCTGAGGGTCGAGGAGGTTAGGGCGCCTGCCCCAGGCCACACAACCAGCAAATGGCAGATTTTGGTGGGCAGAAGATTGGATGCCCCTGAAGGACGGTGGGGGGAGGGGAGCAGGACAGGATGTGGCTCAGGGGAGCTTCCCCTCAACGTGACGAGGCCCTCGGGCCTGCCGAGAAGAGCTGTGGGTGGGTGCTGCGGGCAGCGAGGGCGGCAGCTGCGAAGTCTGGTGGGGAGGCGCAGGGCCCAGCCATTGCCCCGCCCCCACTCCATTCCCGGTCGCCTCCCAGCAGGGTCAGCCTGGCCAGGCGCAGAGGCCCCCTCGTGTTGGAGCAGGGACCCGGACCCGGGGCCCACACCAGCCCCGCCTCTCCCCATGCCCATGGCCCCAGTCTGTCCTTCTGCAGCCCACACAGCCTCTCTCCCTGCCCAGCCCACTGTCCTCAGCCCCGGGGAGGCCCCAGGCTACACACCGCAGCTCCTCCACCCGTGGGCCAGTGACCCGGTGGCTCAGCCTCAGCCTCCACAGCTGTGAAGTGGGGAGAATACATGATCTGTGACGGGGTTGGATGTGTCGCAAGATACCCAAGCACTGGCCCCTGGAGCTAGGACACCAATAGGGTTTAATCTCAGCTCTCCTGCAGGACCCTGAGCAGACGACTCGGTCTTCTCACCCATAAAACGGGGTTAATAATGATCTCCTCCTCAAAGGTGCTTCTAGGGATTCATAAGTGAATAGTTTTTAATTTTTTTATTTGTGGATTTTTAGAAAGAAAGAGAAAGAGACATCGATTTGTTGTTCCACTAACTCATGCATTCATTGGTTGCTTCTTGTATGTGCCCTAACTGGGGATCGAACCCGCAGCCTTGGTATATTGGGATGACGCCCCAACCCACTGAGCTACCTGGCCAGGGCTTAAGTGAATATATTTTTTAAACCCTCTGGAATGTTGCCTGGCAAATGAAAGATGAAATGCTTAGCCCAGTGCCAGGCAGGACCAGGCTGAGGGATGGCCCAGGGGTTGGGGTGGGGCGGTGACAGGAAAGCCCAGGGGGGTGGAGAGGCGAGATCTGGGGGAAGTGCGCCGGGCTAGGAGTGGGGGGATGGAGGCGGGGGGAGCATCCAAGGTCCTGCTCTTTGGTGGCGGAGTGTTGGTGGCCAGGGAGGAGGAGGACCAACGCCGCTGGGGCCTCTTGCAGGAGGCCGCGTGAAGACGTGGAAACGGCGCTGGTTCATCCTGACCGACAGCTGCCTGTACTACTTTGAGTTCACCACGGTGAGCCTGCCCTTGGCCCTGGCCCTGGCCCTGGCCCTGCCCCTAGCCCTGGCCCTGGCCCTGGCCCTGCCCCTGGCTCTGCCTCTGCCCCTGCCCCTGGCTTTGCTCCTGCCCCTGGCCCTGCCCCTGCCCCTGCCCCTAGCCCTGGCCCTGGCCCTGGCCCTGCCCCTGGCTCTGCCTCTGCCCCTGCCCCTGGCTTTGCTCCTGCCCCTGGCCCTGCCCCTGCCCCTGGCCATGGCCCTGGCCCTGCCCCTGGCCCTGGCCCTGCCCCTGCCCCTGGCCCTTCTGGACTTCACTAAGCAGTCACTTCCCAGAGCTGGGGCTCCTTTGAGATCACACAATCCACTGCCACACCCATTTTACAGATGGGAAAATGGAGCCACAGGGAGGAGGAAGCGCTGGGCCGAGGGCCGAGAGCCAGGGGTTAAAGCTGGGTCTCCCAGCTCCCAGCCAAGGCTCATCCTGCATTGGCCCCCCCACCTCCAGGAAGATGGGGACACTCCTCTTGGGTTTGGGGAGCCCCACAAGCTCGCTCCCTACCCACGGCATCAAGGCTCCAGGTGCTGACCCTGATCTCTACTCCTGCAGGACAAGGAGCCACGGGGAATCATACCCCTTGAGAACCTCTCTGTGCAGAAGGTGGATGACCCCAAGAAGCCAGTAGGTGTCGGAGTGGGGGGCCTGAGGCCGGAACAGCTAGGGGCACTTCTGAAGCAGGGAGAGGGGACAGGACGGCTGGGCTGGACTCTCCAGGAGGCCAGGCCAGGCCCAGAACACCTTCAGGGGGACTCAGGGCTGTGGACCCTTCGCCTGCCCCTCTACCGGTCCCAGGAAACAGGTCTGGGGCGGGGTGCATGCTGTTGCTTATCCGAGCTCTGGTCTTGCCCGAGTGTCTAGTCCTCTGAGGCCCCTGGAGAGCCCAGCCCAGCCGCCCTGCCCTCCCAGCCCTGCTCTGCCCTCACCTGGCCACCTCCCCACAGTTCTGCCTGGAGCTCTACAACCCCGGCTGCCGGGGCCAGAAGATCAAAGCCTGCAAGACAGACGGCGACGGCAAGGTGGTGGAGGGCAAGCACGAGTCTTACCGGATCTCGGCCTCCAGCGCCGAGGAGCGGGACCAGTGGATCGAGGCCATACGGTAAGGGACAAGGGATGGCCAGCTGCTAGGGATGGGCCTCCTGGCACTTCCCAGAAGCCCCTGCTTCTCTCGGGCCTTGTTTCCTTGTCTGCAAAGAAGGACAACTCCAGAATCTCCCGCCTGCTTCTGGCTGCAAATGCCTCCCACCCGTACCCTGGGAGTAACCCCTCTCTGTCTGCACAATGCCAGGCTCTAGCACCCAGGGGAGGGAGGCACCAACTTCCCGAGGCTGGTGGGAGGAGCAGGTGAGAAGTCGCAGGTCAAGTGTCGCAGGTCAAGCTTTGTGCCCGGAGCCTGACCCTGGGCAGCGCTCAGGAATGGCGCTGCAGTCAGCATCAGGATCCCAAGTGGCCCTGGAAAGCCCTGGGGGGGGGTGCGGGAGGTGAGGGAAGGGTTTTCCAGGGGGAAGAACCAGTGCGGGCAAACACGAGAGGGCCAGCCAGTGTGTGGCCTGCCAGGATAGCAGCCACCCCGGGGTTCTGGGTGGGTGGTCCCAGGCGCTGCGGGGCCTGACTGTGCAGGGACGGGGCGCTGCGGGGGCCGAGCGGTGGGAGATGAGGCTGCAGAGCAGGGCAACGCCTTGGTCACCATGGCAACAAGCTCCGTTTTCTCAGGGGCACTGGGGAGCCACAGACTGGTAAACAGAGAAGGTGGTGGCCAGGTGAGAAGGTGTACAGTGTGCGGGCCGTGGAGGCCCAGGTGACAGAGAGCCAGGTTCGGGGCAGGGTAACAACCCTGCCTCCCAGCCCGTGGGGAGACGCGGGCCAGGGCGCGTGCTGTGGGCTGGAGGAAGATGTCGGGTTAGTCTCCGGACCTGGGCTGGGTCCTGCAGACTTGCAGGGTGAGGAAGCTGAGGCCTGGCGGAGGGAGGGACTTGCCCGGGGTCCCACAGCCAGCGGGGGACAGAGTTGGACCCAGCAAGCAAGTCTGCTCACCCCATTCGGGCTCCCTCCGCCCCCTTCTGAGAGCCTGAACGCGGGCCCGGGCACTTCTGGGGGCAGGATCCCCAAGGCTGTCGGCTCTCAGCCTTGCCCTTTCCGGCCCTGCCCGTAGGACTATGGGTTAGGCCTGCGAGGTGGGACTCCCCCTGGCCTGGTCCCCTGCAGAGAGGCAGGCCAGCCCTCCATGGGAAACCCCTGCCCCTATGACGAGCCCCGGGAGACGAGATCCCTTCATAACCAGCTCAGCCCTGAAACCTTTTCACCTACCCTCCTTCCAGAGCCAGCATCACCCGCGTCCCCTTCTACGACCTGGTCTCTGCTCGGAAGAAGAAGATTGCCAACAAGCAATGAACTTCGTGGGAGACGGTGCTGGGGGTGCGGGACCAGGTGTCCCAGGAACCCCATGACCTCCCAGTCCAGGACACCCCTTCCTGGCCGGCGGGCATCCTCCCCCTCCCCCCATTACTTCAAGCTGACAGGAGGGGGTGGAACAGAGCTCAGGACGGTGGGTGGGAGCAGCTGAGGGCCCAGAGCCTGTAACGAGGCCCCTCGCACCCAGCCGCTGCAGGAGAGGCCGGAGGAAATCAAGTAGGAGAGAAATCAGCCCGAGATACTCGGCCTCCCGTCCTTCCTCTGGGCCTCAGTTTCCTCTTCTGGGACTGTCTCCCCGCTCTCTGAAACGCGGTCCATCTCCGCAGTAGGAGGGGCTGTGGGTTCCGAAGCTCCGCCTCCAGCGTGCCGAGCGCCCTCGTCCAAGTCTCCCCCTCTGATTCTTGGAAAACCTTGATGTTTGGGTAGAAACGGCTTGGCCCCTCTCCTCCCGGGCTGGCAGCCACAGCCGCAGTGCAGGTCCCAGCAGTCAGTGAGGTGGCTGCCTCCCACCTCCTTGAACTGCTTCCTCCAGGAGAAGACGGGATTGCACCAGGTCTCCCTAAGGAGCTTCCAGCTGGAGATGTCCGCACTTGCTCAGTAGCTGGAGGGGACTCTGGACTGAGCGCCACCAGGAAGCTGAGAGCGGAGTGGGCTCCACCCTCAGGATGTCCATTTCAGGGGCGAGGCGGTGGGACCCCTCCAGAAAACGGACAGAGCATCCCAGACAGACAGACACACTCGAGCAGGACCAGCAAGCAGGTCTACTGACTCCACTTGGGCTCCTTCCAAGAAGCCAAGAAGAGAGAGCTTGTGTGGGTGTGGTGACCAGGAGGGCTGCCTGGAGGTGGCAGGCAAGTCCACGAGTGACACTGAGCTCATGGCAGAGTCTCAGCCAAGACTTCCCCCCAGCGAGACCCCTGAGCAGGATTCCCACGGAGGAAATGGCAGCCTGGCTGGGCCCCCGCATCCTGAAAAACGCTTTGCGGCGGCGCCGTGCAGAGCTGAGCCGGCTTCCAGCACACAGCGTGGGCACGCAGCTCTGTCTCCACGGAGGCCCCGGCCTGGAGGAGGGTGTTCAGAAGCGCATCTCACCCCCTCGCTGAGGCCCTGGGGGAGTCCCCGGGGGGGGAGTTCCCCGTGGAAAGCAGGATATGAGCTTGCCTCCTCCAGCCTGAGAGGGCGCGTGGGAGCTGACTGGGTTCCCTGGGGAAGGGAGGCAACCTCTCCTCCCTCCACCCCCGTCCCCACTCGCACACCTTCCACGGGGTCAGGAGGGCCTTGGCGGGGTCAAGGCAGCCGCCTTGTGGACTGGGACCACTGTCTCTGGGAGTGGGCAAGGGCCTGGTGACAATGTTACTCTGAGGGGCTGGGTCGGGCAGCTGCAGGAGGGGGTCTCACAGAGTACTTTAGGACCCCCACAGACCCCATGCCGCGTCAGCCTGGTGCTGAGTGCCACCTCAGCCACCTCATTGGCCCATGAAGGGGCAGCCGGGGGTCATAGGGGTCATGGGGGATCATGGTCCCCAGACCAGTCTGGGGGTCACGGAGTCTGAGGCCCTCTCCTATCCCTGGCATACACTGGCTGTGGGATCTAGTCCACTCCTGTCCCCTCTCTGGTCCTCAGTCCCCCCCACCCCCTGTCACAGAGGGTGGGTCAGTTTCTGGGCGTGAGTGGCATGAATCACTCAGAAGACAGAATAAAAGTCGTGAGTGGGGCCCTGTCCTCTCTCTCTCTGGGACCACAGCTGCCATCTCTGACCCCACCCTGGCCCTTCCCCCTCATCACCTTCCCAGCTGAGGGCAGGAGGGCCAGACAGGGAAGAGTGGGACCCCAGAGGGCCCTGGACCCTCACCCTCAGGACACTTGAGGCTGCTACACTGGATAGATGTCCCCGTGGGCTGGATTTGCCACAGCGGCTCTCTCAGAGCAGGGACTGGGTGAGCTGGTTCTGCCACGGCCAGGGGAGATGCAAAAGAACTCCCCAGCAGGCAGTGCTGCCTGAAGAAAAAGAGAGGCTGCCTTGAGACACAGGTAGTGAGCTCCCTGTCTACGGAGGGATGCAAGCACAGGCTGGCTCCAATGAACACTTGAGGTGTTCGAGAGGGGCTCAAATTCAGTAACCTTCACTTACTTGTGCTTCCCACGAGTTATTAAATGCCTCCAGTACTCCAGGCACCATTTCAGGCGTTGGTGGAACAAGACAGACTCCCGGGCCACATGGGGCTTACATTCTGGTGGGTCTGAGCGCTAACAGTCCAGGCAGCCCCTCCAGATGCTGGACTTCCTGGGGGCTCCCACAGCCCAGCCCAGCCCCTCCTCTGACGTTCCACCAGTGAGTCGCTCTCGAAGACCTGAAGGCCCTGGACCCATCAGCTTGTCCGTACATTCACTCACTCGGCCCTACTTGCTGCGTGCCTGCCGTGCGCCAGCTCCGCGCACAGAGCCGGAGATGGGATCCAAAGCCCTCGTCCTCAGAAGGAGCTGGGACCAGGTGGGGGGGACAGGTGCGAATGAGCAGGGACAGTCCAGGCCAACCCCTGCTGTTACAGAGCGGGGCACAGGGGCCAGTGGAGGCGGGGCTGGGCTGAGGGACAGGCTGGGGAGGCTTCTCGGAGGAGCCGCGATTGAGTGGTGGCAGCCAGGTGGGAGGAAGGACACACACCTGAGAATGCAGTGAGCTCATCTTCTGTCTGTTCCCCAACACTCACCCCCCACCCCCCACCCCCACACATACACACTGACTCCTTGCAGACCAAACTGTTCCTAGGACACGGTAAGAACAAAATAATTATTGGTTAGACTGAAGTCAACTGAAAAGCCAGCAGGAGCGGGTTCAAACGTCTGGAGGTTTAGGGAGCTGTGGGAAGGGGTGGCAGGAAACCGGGGTTGCGGGGGGGGGGGAGGCAGGGCCCATCACCATCCTGGAGCAGTGGGCCTCCGCCTGGCTGGCCCCGCCCCTTGCTCCTCCCCCAGGCAGCCTCTGCCGGCCTCGCGCCGCCAGCGCCGCCACCACTCCTCACTCCGGGCGGCAGGGGGCTCCCACCCCTCGCGGATGAGAGGTTCCTCCTCGAAGCAGCCAGACTGGGGCCCAGACTGCCTGCTCGTGGCAGGGACAAGCGTCTGCCAGGGTAGAGCCTTGGCCTGGGCAGGCTGGAGGGGAGGTACCTCGTCTGCTAGGACCAGCAGGCTCGAGCCGCCCCAAAGACAACCAGGGCCCAGAGACGCACAGGCCTCCCCGCCCGCTACACACCGTCCTGCTGGGCTCAGCCCGGGATTCGGATGCGCAGCTCTCTCATACCGAACCAGAGCCGTTACTCTCTCCAGGTGTGAGCTGCCTCCCTGAAGGGCGGGGCCAGGTGACTTCCATCACACAGACCTTGAACGGAGACCTCCGTGCACAAGGGTGTCTCAGACGCGGGTATGACAGCCCCTCCCCGGGGATGGGCTGACTGACACAGGTGTGGGACCAGTGAGGAGGAGCGGCAAGGGGCGAAAGGCCACGGGGAGGGTCCCGAGAGCCACCCAGAGCGCCTGGATTCAAGGCCCAACTCCACCTGTGTGTCTTAAACAAATTCCCTAAGCTTGTGAGCCTCAGACTTTCCATCCATAATATGGGAATAATTAAATATATGCAAAAATACTTAGAGCAGTGTTGAGCACCCACTCAAGCTTATATTAAATGGCATCATTTACCAGTGTTGTTAGTGCAAGGCAGAATGTGTACCTGCCTTCATGGAGGTACAAAACCGGCTGAGGCCCCGGGAGGAGAAAAGACTCATGGGGATGGGGGGTGAAGATCTGGGAAGGCTTCTTGGAAGAGGTGCCCATTCAAGAGGAGCGAAGTGGAAGCTGAGCTCTTTCAGCCAGTAAGACCAGGAGGAACAAGACAAGGGTGCGTAACGAGGCGAGGCACTTCTTGGACTCCAGAAACAAGCCTCCGTGGGCCAAGAGGATGCAAATTTGAGGAGGGCTGGGCCCCAGCAAGAGCTGAGCTGCGTGCACAGTGCTGTGACCCCTTGCATCTCCTAGGCCCCCGTGCCCCTCGTTGTGAAGCTCTGATGGGGGGTCCGGTAACATGGCTGCTGCACAGAGGCCATTGCTGAACGGAGAAGAGCAAGTTTGGTCCAAGATGCCAGGGCATGGAGTAGGAGAGGGCAAGGGGTCTCTGGGAAGGCAAGTGGGCCCCAGCCCGAGCCTGAGGAGTGGGAGCGCGCTGGGCAACCCAGGGCAGGCACTGGGGCCCTGCACCTGAATGCCAGGGAGCAGGGACGGGGGGGTGCGAGGGAGGGGGGCAGCCAGCAGCCAAGCGGCAGGTGTGAGACCTATAGAAATTGATTTATTAGGGACAATGAAAGGAGCTAAATATGTTGCCGGCTCAGGGCTCAGTGATGACTCAGGCGCTCCCCTGGGGGTCCACAAAGTGTGAGCATCAAAGAGGCAAAGACAGACCTCCCCCAGCCAGGGCTCTGCCAGCCCTGAACCCTCCTTCCCAGCGATGGGAGGACCACCCACTGAGTGTGCCGCGGGCCTGGCCTCCGAGGGGCAGCAGAGACCCCCCTCCCCCCCCTCCACTCGCTCCAGCTCTCCCCAGAATAGCTGAAGAGCAAAGCCTCCCAGTGAGACGCATCTGGGTTGCAGCCCTGGCCTTGCCCCAAATTGCTGTGTGATCTTGGACCCGTGGCTGGCCCTTTTTGGACCCACGCTCACCGGAGAGGAGAGCTCCCTGCCGAGCCAGGCTCTACCTCCCCCCACCCCCACCCCCCACCTGGCATTGCCATCCCCACCCCATTCAGCGTCTTCCAGACAGCCGCCAGCGCAGCCTCCTCTGCCCATCACCAGACAGCTTCCCTCCAGGAGAAAAGCCAGCTCCCGCAGGGCCTCTCGGGGAGAATTCATTCTTCCGGCGCAGAGTTCCAGGCTTGTGCAGGGCTCCGGGAGGAACAGGGATGAGTCAGAGTCTGCGGCCGAGGCAGGGCGGCCAGAGGTGGCAGGCATGACCTCCTTGTGGGACAAGTGGGACAAGGGACAGGGGGCCCGCAGTCGGGGTGTGGGATGGGGGCCTGGCGGGAAGCGGAGGCTGGGAGGGGCAGAGCAGAAGGGTCTGTAAGAAAACCCGAGAAGACCCAGGCCCCTCCGGATGGCACAGGCTGAGCGGCAGCCCGCCCCAGGAGCCCAGGGGGCTGCCCAAACCTCGGGCCTGCCCCAGAGGAGAATGTTTCTATGAGTCACAGAAGTCCCTGCCCCTCCCAAGCCGACACAGGCGACACTAATGGAGGTTTCCCTTCATATCCCCCTGTGAGTTCTTAGCGGCAAGTGACCCTCAAAACAAGCCACAAAGACCCAGAGCTCCAGATTGCACCCAGACACCCCTGCCCCACCCCCAGCATGCCCAGCAGCAGTCTGTCATGGCCAAGGCCGCCAGTCAAGGGGCACTGACTAGGGCCTGGGCCTCTGCCAACGTGCTGCCTGCCAACCTTCCCCCACTCTCCAGAGCGGGCTCCGTTATCCCCACTCCACAGAGAAGGGCTCTGAAGCCCACGGGGCCCACGGCCCAGCCGAGGGGCCCGAACCAGCTCAGAACCACGGCCATCTGCCCGGAGGCCTGCATAGATTTAGATTGGGGGAGCGGGGGCACACAGTCACCCTCCAACGGGACTCTGAGAGCGTGAGCGTGCCGGCTTGGAGAGGGTGCCAGGAACGTGGGGGTGCACCAGGACAGCCCCAGACACCCCAAGGCAGGCGTGCGGTCACCCTAGAGATTGGACACATCCACAAGAGTCTGGCGAGGAAGAGGGGCATCCTGGGTGGCCCTGTGGGCTGGAAGGATGTGACCCGTGGCTTCTTCATCCTGGAGAAGCAGAGGGCAGCTGTGTTGTCCCGAGCGGGCTGGGCTCCAGGCCTCTGCTGCCATCATCCACTTTCAGTGAACACCCCCGTTTATCCATCCTCCCGAGTCCTGCCCCAGAGGGCCCGTTGTGTGGGCTGATCACGCAAGCAGCGAGCCCGGTCCACCACCACCCTCTGCAGATATTCGTCCACTTAATACATTTTCAATGGAGGCTCCTTTTTGGGGCTGAGAGCAGGGGCTCCGGACAGGACCACCGCATGGACCAGGGGCTCTGCATCCTATCCTCCCAGGACCGGCTGAAGTCCTCCTCCTACAGGAAGTCCTCCCTCACCACCCCAGGCCCCTCTCTCTGCTTCCACACAGGGTCCTCCAGCCCCATCTTAGCCTGTAAAATCCTCCTCCTCCTCCTTCATGAGGAAATCGAGGCTCACAGAGGTTAGGGGACAGGTTCGAGGTCACCCAACACAGAGGAAGGCAGAGGCAGAAGCATGTCTTGAGCATCCTTGGTCTCACCCAATCCTCCCCAAAGCCCGTGAGGCAGCCAGGAGTGGAATTATTCCCGTATAACAGAGCAGAGCCTGGAGGCCCAGAGCCACATGGGCCGAGGAGTGGCAGCCGAGCACCTGGTTTCCATGGAGCTGTTGAGGCCGAGGACCCAGGGAGCACGCAGTCCTCCGCAGAAGGGGGTGGTGAGCTCCTGACCTTTCCATCCCTTTGATCCTTTGAAGCTAAAGCTGAAACCTCTTCTCGTCCTCCCTCCTCCAAGGGATTTGCATTTCATAACTAAGAGCCCAGGAAGGACCTAGGTTTGACCTAAAGAAATTAAATTTTCAATAAAGTGTCCCCTATTTAAGAAATAATAAATC